ACGCGCGCGACACCCACCCCCCCACGCCCCCACCCACATCCACCCCACCCACACCCCCCACACCCCACCCACACCCCCACCCACACCCACACCCACACCCACACCCACACCCTCGAAACATTTATGGTCTGATACATTGGACAAGATAGTGAAACAAATCAACAATTTCATTCGATCTTATTCTTCGTCGATCGGAATTGATGGTGTACTTCTTCTTACAAATATTCAACATAATATTATTTATGAGCAAATGATTATACAATTTAAACATAAAAATGAAATCGATTACATTAAATGGTCTTTTGCCGAAGGTTGGTTCTCTATCTCTCGATCGACAGAAAAACTACACTTTTTCATTTTTCAGTATCGCAAAGATTTCTTTTGGAACTTTTCTTTCAACAAGTAATCAATGAATTATCTTTACGTGATTCGGTCGATGGCACTTCGTATATGATGAAATATTTTCCAACTTGTTTCAATTCAGCGGGAAAAAAAACCGCTAATCCATCGAAATCTTCTATTGAAAATCTTCTTCGAAGAGATAGATCTGTTTGGCTGCATGTGAAATCAACAATGGGTGTTCAATGTGAATTTCCACAAAAGCTGAACAATGCTTTACTTTATGGTGAATTATCAGAAAAAATTCATCTTCCTCGACTCTATCGTCTTTATCTGCCATCGGACATGGAAGTTGATATTCGAGAATTTTTTATTGAATTATCAAGAATATTCAATTGTCAAGCTGAAGAAATTGATGTTCATTCAGCAGCTGCCTTCACCTATAAACAAAGTAACACAGATAAATAGTGTTGTTATCGTTTTTTCCCCGTTTCTTTTTTTTTTGTATTGTTTTTGTGTGATTGCTGTCTTTCACTTTTTGTTGAAAAGACCTTGGCTAAGATAGAATTGCCATTGATTCAAACAGAAACAGAACTAAATGAAATGGTCTTACAATAGAGAATAAGAGAAAGTATATTGGAATGATAAAATCACCGACACATATATTGAATACTCAGTAAAATATGGAGTATTTTTCGTATTATTTACTGAAAAAATCCGAGTACCGAGTACATTTTGATAGTAAAAGTATATTTACTTGTACGAACAAAAGTGTGCTAGGACAAATACTAAGTACGAATGTACTTAAATACTGGTACTAGCATAATTGTATTTAACCATTTGGCCGCCGACATAAGAGAAAGAAGAAACGGGTTTTCAGAAAATTTATTGGTTTTTCTATGGAACAGTTGTATAGCGTGCCTTAACAAAATGGTAATTTGGAAAGCAAATGATGCCTAACATTTGTTTTTAGACAAGTGCCTCTAAAAAGTATATATTATGAATGATTACTTCAGTTCATGCAACGATGAGGCTCCCGCCGTTTATAAACGGCGGCAGCGGTCAAAGGGTTAATATACGCGAATATTCTTTTATTGATTATAGAAAAATTTTGTCTTTTATTATTGATATACCCATATCTTTTTGTATAAAATATTGAAGAAAACAATTGTTTTCCATTGAATACTCTAACGAGGGAACACCCCCAGATGAAGCTCCGCTTTTGATGTGATATTTAGTCCATATATAGGCCTCAGTGAGACTAGAAAAATCCCAAAAGGCTTTGGGTTTCTATGGCTTCCTTGTTGAAATATTAAGTTCATATCTTCTCTAAGAGTACTATGATTGATATTGGAATACGATGCAATATCGATTTTTCACAACGATATGAAATACAGACGTACAGTGTTTTAGAAAATAATTTCTTTTTTGTTAAGGTTCTTGTCTCGATTCAATCTCTTATATTTCTACTTGAACCTTATTTTAATCAATCTGATTATGAACGTACACGTCGTAGAGTAACTGGTACTGCTCAATCACTTCAATATGATTATTATATTCGACAAGCAACGGTTCGATGGGCAATCCTTGAACAATTACCAAATCCTCCTATATATTTTACTGATATCATACGGCGACATTTCTCTTTAAAACGAAGTTAAATTAAAAATTAAAAATAAAACTACAATCTTATTTTTTTTTGTTTCGTTATTTATTTAGATGAAATAATTGATCAATGTCAACCATGGATACGTCAATTACAAGATGCATCATCAACAGGAAAACCTATTAGTTCATAAATAAGTCAACATCTTCCATCACTTATACATTATATAAATTATCTTAAAAAATAATTTAATTCTTTAACACCACCTTATCATTTTATTATTCCATCGTTAATTAACAACATTTAGACTTAAAAACATCATCAAATAAATAATAATAGAAGAAGAGATCAAGTAAGACCTTGTTGTTCTTCTGCAATAATAACAATAAATGTTTCATCAATATCGGATATAAATAAAAAATCTGAAGAAAATATAATCACTAACAAGATTAATTGATAGACGAAACTCAACAATCATCAAATTCATCAAATAATCATTATGATCAACCTGATTATGGATTTATCTATGATGATTTACTTTATGATCAAGATGATTTAGATATTGAATATATGATTGAATATCAAGGTGAAATACCTCAACGGTTATCCTTAAGATTGTTTTTTGTGGAAAAAAAAACCGAGTGATTGATTTATTGATATCTGTGTTCTTTTCTTCTTCTTCTTCTGTATGTATTATTTATTCTCAATAAAAATAAAAAACCACGAATTTCTTTTTTTCTTTCGTTATTTCATTGGCGTTATATAGATTATGGTTAACTTTTATTATATTATTAAAGTAAACAAATTGTAACGGTAGATAACAATATACCAAACGAATATAATCCTTTAACATTCGGGATTTTTTTTATTAAATAAATACGAAAAATAGAATTAATTTATTTTGTGAATTTGATTGAATAAAAACATCAAAGTATTAGGATATTTTAGATATTTATTTCGACAATAATTCAATGATACGATTGATAAACGGTAACGATATTTACTATTTAACGATAGAACGTTTCTAGACTAAACTGATCACACTCATAGAAAAACATTTACAATATCGAATCGCTACGATTGTCGTATAGAAGTTATCATAGATCATAAACACATCACTTTCAACAGCTTTTTCAAATATCTTAATCATTTTTTTTGATCTATTTGAAAAAAAAGATTTGTCTTTTAATAATCTAAAAAAAACAAATCATCTCATCAGACAACTTGATTCATTTCATAAAGTGAAGCAAAGTCAAAGTAAATATATATTAATAGAAAAATCGAGTTGGCCATTCTAATCTTATCTTGGAAGAGTAGAGTATGGTTATGACATGAATAAAACTCTACCATGCATCTCTATAATGAAGTATTAAACAAAATTAAGGAAACATTTTATTTTTTAAAGTTCTAACAATTAACTCAATCGTTTTGTTTCACCTTATAACAAAAATTCTTTGAAATATTTAGCCAAACAGAAATACAGTTTTTTCTAGAGAATTGAAAGATGATTCTTTTTTATGTTCCAATAGAGAAAAAAAAAACTTGTCGAAATAGTCCATAAATACTAAGAAAGTTATTCTTTACGGTTCATCGATTCGATATTTGAAGTTGAAACATTTTTATTCGATTTTGATGAGTCTGATCACTTGTGAGTATACTCTCTACTTACGAGGATATATTCTAAATGTGTGTGTCCGTTTTTAAATGTCCTTATGTCACTTTTTAGAGTACGATCAGCTGATAACGATCGGATAAAGTATTCTTATCGATATATTGCCTATGAATAACTAGGCCGATTTCAACAAGAGAATAACTAACTGAAAGCTATTATTTCATAGATTTTCATTTTCTTGTTAGATTAGATCTCACCATTGAATATTTTAATTCTCAATTCGCGTCTTAATTAACTCTAGACATTTAAGTTAAATCGAAATTCTAACTAGCTATATACTATCAGTATTTCAATATGATGAGTACTATGAATGCACGGCATTTAACTATTTTCTTTTCAAAATCCATCTTATTTCAATTCTATGTTCATCTATTGTCGGATATCTATTTAAAATCAATGTTGATTATGTTTCAAATAAACGAATTTATCTATTGGACTTTTCCATATAAACATATGAGAAAAAACAAAATAGAATGCAGACTATTGAAAATGAAATATATGACAAAACTTTAATTCCTATCTCTTTAGAGAATAGGATTCCCAGAGAATCATAATCAGTAAAAAAAAAATAGTTGAATTCGATACATCTACAATTTTAATGAACGGTGCAGCTAGTCTTAAAGCTTTCAATGGTAAAAGCTAAACTAAGATAAAAATGAAAATTTCTGAAATAAGAGCTTAGAATAATTTCTTTCTGTAGTTAATTCGTGATCAGAGCTAGATAAGTCAACGTTATTTTAACAAGTGAATTTTTTCAGAGTTTTCTAAGATAACAAAACGATATAATCGTCAAGATTTCTAGAAAAAATTTTTGTTTAAAAACTTTCTTCGACATATAAAACTTCTTCGTAAAGTGAATTACACAAGAGAATTCTTTAAATTAGAAGATCATTTAAATAATCTCTTATTAAAAGGTGTAACTCGACAGTGGAAGGCATCTTTCGAAGACGAACTGGTTCAGTTCCAGATAAAGAAATGGTGCGTGGACTTCTAACATCTATCGATTTGTTTAACTTGATTTTTAACAATGACTTTTAATTTGAAGTTATCTCATATTAAAAGAAACTTTATTTTAATGGGAATTATTTTCATTGAATTCTATTTAGGTATCTCTTATGACACGATATACGAAACGAATCGTACTTCACTCTATTATTGATCAATTAGTACTGGTTTTAGAACAAGAGCATCTTTTATTAGATTTGCTTATTTTTATTAGTAAGTATTGATAATTAAAAATTGATTTATTCAATTATTTTTTTTTTCTTTCAAGTTAACATTTGATCAGACGAAGAACGAAACGAAAGTATTAAAAACAGGTGAAATAGAACGTATCGTTACTACTCAAGGTTTAACTAGTCAACATTTGTTGAAATATTTTACTTATTTTCGGCATTTGATTTTTGTTTTTGTTTAATTAGAATTAGAAAAAGCGATTGATTTATTTCAAAAACAAGGAATTCACGAATAAATTCAAGTTGAAAATTACGAACGATATAAAAAATGACGTTATAAACGTTGTGAACAAGAAGATCTTAGTTAAAAGAAAAATATGTGTTACATATTCAACAAGAAAAATATCAAATGAACATGTTTATCATATTATAAGATCAATTGTTAAATAAAAGACAACGAAATCTTCTTGAACAACAACAAACATTTATTCGAATAAATACAGATTAATATAATAAAAGAAATAATTATCTTCTAGACAACATTTACATAAAAAAAAACGAACAATGTTTGTGATTTTGCTCAAGTTTGTTTGTTTTTTTTTTAATCGAACCTATTTTATTTAGTTGATCAAAAGAAAATGTCCAGAATCCAATAAGAAAACTTATTTATCCAAAAAAGAAAATTTCTATTGAAATTAATGATGATGATTTTATAATGATAAGAAAACGTCCTAAAGTTATTCATCAACCAAAAATAAATTCGTTTTGTAAGAAAAAATGATTCAATAAAAGAATATCTTCAATCAATTATAATAGAAATCGAAAATAATTCTATGACATGTCCGATTTGTAATCAAGTTTTATCCAACGTTAACTACTATTGATCAACGTCAACAACATCTTTATCGATCTATTCAACCAACTTCAATTTATTAATCTATCTCATAGAAAATTCCCAGATTCGTACGATAAGAGTTCCCTTTTCTGTCATGAATTGGAAACCTTAAGACTAAAATATCTCTCGAATAAATCCGGTCAATAATGTACTGATCTTGAGTTATAGTTGTTTTTAATCAATGAGATTTTCTCATAAGATATAACTAAACCTTATTCAAATATGCTGAAAGTATTAGCAAAAAAGAAAATGTCTTTGTTAAGATATTGGATTTGCAAAAAAAAGTAGCCATCTTTCATAGTAAACGACAGAATAAGCAAATTTTTCCTAAACTTATTATCTCGAGAAACGATAGATTTAGTTTTACTAGGAGCACAAAAGTCATCAATTACTTAGAACGGCTCCATTGTTTGATAGACGAGCGACAGAATGCTTTTGATTTGAGATAATGCCTATTATATAGACCCTAAGGAACTCTCGATATCGAGGAAGAGTTGTGTGTTCCTAGTTTAATTCTGACGAACTATTTCATTTTTATAGTATTTTTCAGCATTATGCTGTGCTCTTTCTTTAGATCACTTGGAAAATTTACTTTCAAATTCTCACCTTGAAACTTTGCACAGCAATAAGCCTCAATGAGACTAGTCTATTATGAAAATTTTATATTTCCAAATTCCTTCTATTCTTAGATATGAGTTTAAGAAAAAAATATTACTTTTCACGATAATCACCATTTTCATTTTTTTCGATAGGAACAAACAAAAAAAAAAAATTTGAAATCTTTAGAATAGACTAGTCTCATGAAGACTTAACACTGTGCAAAGTGATACTGAGGAAGATCCTAGACATGAAATATCTCAATAGAAATAAGACAGGTGCACGAACTCTTTTTAGAGTGGTCAGAGTTCATTAGGACCTACATTATGCATCGAGTCTTGACTCGATAGTCAATATAGATTTGTCAAATTTTTCTCCTAAGCAATCCATGAAATGGCTCTACTCTCTTATATTCCCAATCTGTTCAATTTCAATTTCAGTTACACATCTATCTCGATAGCGAACTTTCGTCAAATCTATTAATTGATATTACATCTACTACTGTTCGAAAAGGAACAACAATAACAAGATTATCAAATTTCAAATGTAAAATGTTCTGGAATGTCATTTCATGTAAAACATACTTATTTATCACATATTAAACAAATCTTCCAATAAAAATAGTCTTCAATTAAGGCCCCCCCCCCCCCCTCCCCTCAAAAAAGTCACATTTCGTCAGAATCATTGGAATTGAGATAAATCCATAGGAAGATAGCCTGTCATTTGGTCTTTCATAAACGATAAAAATTTTTCTTCGATACCTCCTTTTTTTCGAAAAACGTTCAAGATTTTTGACAACCCCTATTCGAAAAAATCCAAAAATCTTTTTCTTTTTTTCTCAAAGTAGTAGTCGAACGACGCATCACCAACAAAAGTCAATTATAATCCGATATAAAGTCAAATATATTTTTTTTTTGTTTGAAAGAGCATGTCAGGATGCAGTGCCTATGAGGGCCCTTTTTTTGATAAAGCTTTCTTATTATTATATTGAAAAGCGACTTTATAATATAAGCATAATTTTTTTGAGGGATTTTTGAGTGATTGAATTTGTGAACCCTTTTTTTCTTATTAAAGATAAGAATTTTAAAAAAAGGGCCCTCATAGGCACTGCATCCTGATATGCTCTTTCATACGAAAAAACAATGAACCAAATTGAATGAACACCCATAGAGAATTTTTGGTGATGCGATAAGCTATTTTTCGACCCTTGTTTGGTTCGTATCTCCGTTATACATCAGGATAGGAGGCTGAAAATTTTACCGTAGACGTACTTTTATACCCCCAATATATCCTCAAAGTTTCATGGCATCTCGATGTTCCGGAGCTGAGATCGATTTTTGTGGGGGGGGGGGGGGGGGGGCCTTAACAACGTCTTGTTAATTTTGCTGGTAAAACTAGAATAAATAAGAATGAATTAAAATGAATAACTAGAATAAACGAAACAAATAGGAACCAATATTAACACAATCGAATTATTAACAATGGACAATACCCAACAATTGAAGATTATCAACAACAACAACAATTAGTAAAACTTCTTAATCAAAAAGAAAAAAAAAACGTTTTAAATTGTTATTTATTTTTATTAAAGGCAATCGCACTTTCAACTTCAATTAAAACTGCTCGAGAACTTCCTAATGCTTTCGATATTCTTCAAACTGCATCGAAAAAAACCAAAACAATAGAGTAAATCTTTTTTTTTCTTTAACGTTCTATTTATGAATGAATTCTATCATCTACATTTTGTTTATTAACACTACCATTATCGAATGTCTCTATCGAAGATAAACTAAACACTATCTTCAATACGTTTATCAAATCTATGTCAACGTCTAATTAGAATAATACCTTCAGAACAATTCATAGAAATTTCCTTTAAGTTCCCGTTCAACGTTATATCTCAAAGAAATGTTTGGTCATGTTAATTGGTCTAATATAAGAACAACTGATCCTGACGATGATCAAGTAACGGTGACAATAATGATAAAATTCGAGTGAATTTTTTTCTTGCTCACCTGATCTCTAGTTGAATAGAGTTTGACGAGCTGACCACGAATATATGCTTTTTATTTTGATTCGACCATCGTTTGCCGGAAAAGAACCCTACGAAAAGTCGAATGACTGAAAATGAACCATTGGTAACTACGAACTCGTGCTTTTTTTTCTACAGAAATGGTCAAATTTCGATTATGTCATTTTTTTAATAAAGTTTTTAAAAAAATCTTGTCCAATAGAGATAGCTCCAACATGCCTCACAGCATCTATCTATAGGTATTCTTGTAAACCTATCTAGTTTTTTTTCTAGCAATATACGAGTTTTTTTCCGTTTGATGATAACATTGGACAAAAAGATAAAAAATGTGCTCCTATTTAGCAGTTATTATTACCATGATTCAGTTAAAAATCAAAATAGATAGAATATGAAGAATAACCGTGAAAAACTGCATCGAACCAGATATGTTTTAGAAATCTTTTTTTTCTTGTGAAAAACTGACCTCTGGGGGAGTGGAGGCAAACATTTCAGAACACATAGATCTCAACGGAGAACTCAGGTGTTTTTTCATTGTAGATATTTTTTACTAAAACATATATGATTCGACAGAATTTTTTATGCTTATTCTTCATATTCTATCTATTTTGATTTTTAACTTGACCATGGTAAGAAAAATCGCTAAATACAAACGCATTTTTTTTTTATTCGTTTTGCCTAATGTTACTATCGAATGGGAAAAAAAAAATCAAAAAAAGAGAAACTGAAAAACACAAAATAGGTACTTTTGTAGTTTACGAGCTGGTTATTTTAATGAGATAAGATACTTGCTTCTATCTCTTATTAGGAAAAAAAACTAGATATATTGGATGAAACATTTTTAACCTTATTAACTCTAAACCTAATCAAATAACATTTTTCCATTCAGTTTTTAATGCTAAATCAGAATAACATGGTTTCATAAATTTTGAAAAAATAACACAATCGAAGTTTGACAATGTCTGTAAAAAAAAACGAAAGCGCGAATTCATAGTTCTAACTTCTACATTTTCAATCATTCGAGTTTTCTACGGCTCTTTTCAGTCAAACGGTGATCGATTCGAAATAAAACACTATATATTCGTAACCAGCTCGTCAACCTCTATACAAGCATATATAAGTGAGAAAGAAAAAAATCCACTAGAATTTTTCATTATTAACACCTTAAATATATAATTATTTTTTTTTATTACACTTTTTCAGATCCCGATGACACAATTAGCTCGAATACTTTATGATAATGATGATGAACTAATGGCATGATTTCATCCAGTGACAAATCTTTTTTTTGTACTTTTTGCAAAGAAAAATAAAAAAAAAAAAATTCGATAATTTAGAGAAAAACAAAAGATCAAATAAAGATTATTATTATCAATCAACTTATATTCAATTTGATTATTCATTTAAAAAAAAAAACACTAATTAATATTCTATTGTTAAAGTTAACAATTATTAGTATCAATGGTGATTAGTCGATAATCGACTAAATGATGAACAAGGTTTAAAACGTTTATTCTATATTAACTCTTCTATCATCATTTTAAACGATCTAATCAAATAAATAATTCTAAAACGAAAAACAAAAAAATCACCAAAATAAATCAATGTCTCAATATCGATCACCATCACCATATTTACCTAACATCAGTTTATTAATCAATAGATATATAACAATTAACAAAATCGTCCTATGTATTATCATCTATCAACGTTGACAAGCTAAACGACGAATTATTTAAATTCTTTATGATATTTATTATTTTATTTATCAATATTAACACTGATCGTGATTATCAATTGTTATACGAACGACATTGATCTTGAAAAATCTAATTCAAATAAGAAAAAGATTTATCGTCATAGACCAACAACATCAACAATTATTTCTGATGTTAAAAAATGAAAATCTATTGATAAAATGATTTATTCCAATGAGACTAATCAATGATTCATCACCGTCCAATCAATAAGACCAACTCAAATAACAAGAGTAGAGAATAAATATTATTATCAATCAGATGCGGATTATACAGATCATGATCAAGGTCCTTTTCTTTAACGTTCCACTTTATTATCTTTTTTTTGTCAACAACATTCTTTAGTTTATCATCGATTATTCTTACTCGTCACCTAGTCGAACTTGAAATGATGGTCATCTCAATGATTGACAGAGTTATTTATTTATTTCAAATGTTTTGAATTAATATATGAATATATTCTCATCTAAATATAATAATGGATGATTGAAAACTAATTATTGGAAAATATATTCAGTCATTTGTTAACTCTTTTTAACGAGTCTAAAGATTGACGTTAGAATTAGATTCATCTTTTATTTATCAATATAACTTTAAACATTTTTCTAATCTCTCTCATTGAGAACTAGTCAACTAACCCATGAGAGGCATGAAAATTATGTTCGGATGGAGAAAATTTATCTTTTTCGCTGCTACACTCTTCTTTACTATATAGACAAAATTATTGAATTTTTTTTTCCATAGAATTAAAGATAAAATTCTTCTCGACAAAGTTATATAAGATTGGCGAGTGTCTGAATTGATGTTTGAAAATCTTAATTCGATAAAAATCTATCGAAATAATAATTAATAGCCGGATTGTTATTGATAAATGGTTGCTCTTTCATTTGCTTGATTTCAAAGAATTTTTTCTCCTAAACTAGAATTCCTAAAAAACATTGTTGAGGCCTTATTCGAAAATAAGGCAAAACTCTTATTCTAATCGAATCTTTTCAAATTTTCTCAGATTCGTTTAAAAAGCTGATAAATAAATGAATATTTATTCTACTTACTTTTCTATCACTCGTTTTATCTTTAATATCTTATCTAACTCTAATAGAATATCTATTCGTTTCCTAAAGGGTGGTCAGAAAGTTTCGACCCCTCTTAGTAAATCGATAGTATTTATGGCAAACTTATATATAGCTAATTGATCAAATTATTTGATCTTGTAGAGGAAGAGTAGAGCTATCATCTGAAAAGAAAATATCTCGAAATGCTTAAATGTAAGATAATGTTATGGTTATTTTA